CCCTCTGCCTGTCCACCCCTCCACCGGGACTCGGACCTTGCGCCTCGCGGAGCCGGGAATCAAAGCGGGCCGGGCCGCCCGGCCGCCTCCATAAAACGGCGTTCACCTCCCGCCCGAGCTTTATGGGGCCAGGAAGCGCCTGGTCAGCTCCGCTGCCCATGCGCTGCGGGCAGTGCGAGTGGAATCCCTCTGCCTGTCCACCCCTCCACCGGGACTCGGAGCGTTGCCTTCTTGGATCCGGCCCCGGCTTCGGTCCCAGTCCCATAGCCCTGGTCCCCTGCCGGCGGGGTTATCTGGCATCTCTGCACGGTGTGCGGGGGGGCGAGTGTATGAGTGTGTCGAGAGGGTGGGGCCTCTGAAGTCAGTCCCGCAGGTTCATGTCATGACCTTGGGCAGCTGAATAACCTTTCTAAGCTTCAATTTCTCACAGGCAAAATAGTGATAATAATAGTAAGCACTGACAGTTGTTGCCAGGATCTAATGAGATAATGACCAGAAAGCATTTAGGGCCCTGCCTATCACTTAATAAGAACTCTGTAAATGTTAGTTTATTTATTCATTATTTGTTCTATGTATTCTATTGTTAATTTATCATTTCATCCTGTGTCCCTTTGGGCAAAACCTTTCTCTTCTCTTCTATCGCAGGACTCAGCTCATACCTCCTTTTCCTGTAAGCGTCCCTCCTTCCTGTACCCCTCTCTACTCTGCTTGGGTGAGGGGAAGGGAGTTGTATTCATGGAGTGTCCGCAATGTGCCTAGTACTGTGCTGAGGCCTTTTTATGCTATATTATTTCCTCTAGCTCCCAGGGCATCCTTCTGAGGTTGGTATTATTGTGCCCATTTATCTGATTGGGAAGGTGTGAGCTCAGGGTGGTCCAGTGACTTGTTTAAGGTCATACATAGAAGGATCCATAGAGGGGCAGAGTCAGAATCTGAAAGGCGACCCCTCCTCCAAGCCCTCCTCCACCCTGGTCTTACCCAGGGTCTGAATCTTTGGGGGCTGAGTGAGGGTGGAGTTTTTGTTGGTGGCAGGAGCACAGACTGCTAGGCTTTGGGCCCTTGGGGAAATCTTTCTGATCCAAGGCCTTCCCCTCAACTGAGGCTTGGTCATGGCCACCAACTCTAGAAGGCTATAATCCATTATAAAGGAGGTTAATTATGTGTCCAATTATTGGCAGAGGAAACCAGGAGTGTGCACTCAGCAGCCAGCATTAAAGAGAAGCATGCAAATCACCCTCAGCTTCCTTTGCTTTTAAATACGAGTTATTATTGTGAAAGCAGTAATTAAGTCTTAGAACTCCAGAGGTCATCACAGCCAGTCCTGGCTTTAAGCTGCCTGGCATCTCATTTCCTGTTACCCCTTTTCGTGTCTTTTCTGCACTCTCATGGGCTTGGATTCCTTTGGCCCAGGCTTGGTCTGTTTTGCAGCAGTTTAAGGCCAACCTTAGTTCAGTCCTCTATAGAAGTTGGATCCCAACTCCGCAGGCTTGTGCCCTTGCCCCAGCTTCAGCTGGGAGTCAGTGTAAGAATTAAAGAAAGAAGAAAGAAATATGAAAGGTGGCTTGCCAGTCAAGACAGGTTTATTTTAGAGAAAACAAGCCTGAGAGGGGTGTCTGGCCAAGTTAGGTCAGAGGCACACTCTCT